TATTACGGTTGTGGGTAATAAATATAACAAATCGGATGAATAATATATATGGAAGCTATAGCTATATCTGAACCGATCTTCACCAAATTTGACATACTAGCTTCTAGACTCAATTCGGTCGTAAGTGCCAAATTCCATCCCATTTGGACAAATATTAGACGTTTGGTGCACAATAAAAGGTAAATCGGACGAAGTTATATATGGGAGCTATATCCAAATCTGAACCGATCTCGATAAAATTTAGCAAAGGTATTTCTGAGCTGCATTTGATATATTTCCCCAAATATTGTTGTTACAGAGTGCATATTACGGCGGCGGTGGACAAAAATAACAAATCGGATGAAAAATATATATGGGAGCTATAGCTATATCTGAACCGATTTCGATCAAATTTGGCACACATATTTTCAGGCCTAATTTGGGTGAATATGCAAAATTCCATACAATTCGGGCTGATATTACACGTATGGTGCACAATAAAAGGCAAATCGGACGAAGATATATATGGGAGCTATATCTAAATTTTGACCGATTATCTCCAATTTCAATAGAGTTCGTCCTTGGGCCAAACAAAAGATCTTAGCAAAATTTCATCTGGATCGGGCAATAAATGCGACCTGTACTTTGTTTACAAAAATACATGGACAGACGGACGGACGGACGGACGGACGGACGGACAGACGGACGGACGGACATGCATAAATCGACTCAGAATGTGATTCTATGCAGATCATCAAAAGGAACTATGGGTCTATCTCGTTTCCTTCTGCCTGTTACAAACAAATGCACAAAGACATAATACCCTGACCACCTTGTGGTGTAGGGTATAATGAAAACACCTTTCGGTCGAACAGCATCTGCAGGCTCGAACAAATACATTCACGTTGATTTTGCATTGCTGCGGGTGAATGTCGTTGTTGTGCTGCATTCTCTGCTCCTGCGCTTAGTATGTTTGTGTGTATGTGTATAAAGGCATATGCCTGAATATCCTTAACAGCAATGCCAAAACAAAACGAATGGAATAATCATAGCCGAAAATGAAGGAAACACATGTTTTAATTTCTCCTTCATTGCTTCATTTCTACGCTCAGAATTGCTTTGTTGTTTTGCGTTTCGGCTTCTATTGTACCTATATCGTTTTTTTTTCTCTTTACCGAATGCCTAGTCGCTTTTGTGTTCCACGCAACATCTGTCATTGTTGGTTGTGTTCTGTATTTTTTCGTTCCATTGTCACTGCTCTCTTGTGTTTGAGATTTTCTTGGCAGATACGCATCTTCCAATGGCGAAACCCAGACAATCTATCGACGTAAAAGAGAAATTAGTGCTGAAATTTGTTCAAGTCTGTCTGGTATTGCTGAATGAAGTTGTGAATGAATGGCTGTGATAAGAAATTGCGATACCGTGTGAAACACAGTAGTTAGAAGCGAAATTCGAGCACAGTGTCCAAATGGTGTGAATTTTGGCACTTCCGACCGACTTTAGTATAGAACCAAATGGCTAATTTAAGCCCATAGAGAGTGAAATGTTGCACTTCCAAGCGAATTCATGCGAAGAAGATAATACTTAAAATTTGGTGAAAATCGCTTTATAGCTATAGCTCCCATATATATGTTTCATCCGATTTGGTGTTTAAATCTTCAACTTTCGGGATATGCACTCTACCATAATCTTATTTTGTACCAGATATCTCATAGAGCTCAGAAATGCCCAATATAAACCTTTCTTTTACGAGAGCTCTACTAAATATGCATAGTGGTGTAGGGTATCCTATAGTCGACCCCGCCCGACTAAAATAAATTCAAGAATATAAATAAAAAACGCATTTATTTTAATGCTTTAGGTTATATAATATCTTTTGTATATCCTTTTGGAGCGCAAACAAACAAATCGCTCGGTCTACCAACACGTCAAGGTGTCACGTATAAATGTCCATGAGAAAAGCAGGAACATTTCAAATTTAGTCCGCAAGCACGAAGAGTTCTTCATTGGGATTTATTAATTGTCAGAGCAAATGCCAAGCGTGTGGGAAATTGCAATATTTTAAAGTCGAACGTCATTTCTTTAGTAATTAGGAGGATTCGAGGTAACAAAATACTCGAACCTACATACTTCCCCGTAATAACCGCCAATCAAATTGTTGTGTTAAACTGTTGTAATTAATTGCAAAGGATTGGCGGGTCTATTTTCTTAAAAAATGATATTAATGTCTGAACCGATTTGACAAATTTATTTGTAGACTAAATTCCTTCACACACTCCAATATTTCATTGAATTTGGAGATACATATCGTGTTTGGTACATCAAAAAAATGAAATCGGCCGAGAATATGAATGGGAGATATATCCAAACCTCAACCGATTTAAATATAATTTGACAAATAAATGTTTAGACCAAAAACTTTAACACATTCCGTACTTCATTGGCATTTGACATACATAGCGTGTTTGGTGCATCAATTACTTTAAATCGGTCGAAAATATATATGGGAGTTATATCCAAATATGTACCAAATTCCATTACACATTCTGAATTTTAATACTGTATCTGTAACCGTTCAATAGATATGTGCATACAGAATCTAAACTTTTGGAGGCACCTCTTATTTTGATGCTATATCTCCAAATGAAATTTCTGAAAAGATGTATACAGCCCTCTTACTTTCAGGCCATGCTGCAGTATATTTGGAAATTTGCAAGGAAATCTGTTTAGCAGTTTTTGATTCCGTAAATTACAATCTAATAAACATTTTCCTCTTTTATAGATACATATAAGGCAAATATAATTATTTGAATGAAGGCATCTCAGTAGCAAACTTAAAGATTACTCTTCAGCCTACCAGAGATCGGTTGAATTTCTACAAATTGAACTCAAAATATATAAGTACATTTTTTTACGAAAACGCTTCTGACATTGCTAATTTTGAAATAATAACAGTTTATTACCAGCAATTTTCACAAAGTAATTCCGAAAACTTAAGACAAATTCGTCGACAAAGAACTAATCAGAAAATGTTTTTGAATCAAACGATTTTCTCAAGCGTTGTTAAAAAGTAGAAACACTGTTTTATAATATTATGCTCAAGCTTTGGTTTGGTTGGTTTGGTTTGGTTATTGAGTTGTATATTTGTCATGATGTGTAAAGTATTTGTAAAAAACAGACAAGTTCGGTCAGGCCGAACTTTTTATAACCTCCGCCATTTGGAAGAAACTTGAAAAAATTCAAAAAAAAAAAAAATTTCGTCGGAAAATACCGCTCAAATGGAAACCGTTATATGGGGGATATACGAAGTCTTGGCCCTGCATAAGTAATTTGTCATAGGCTGTAGTAACTGTTCCGAACTTTATATACGAAATTTGAAACAATTCCGGTGAATAATGTCGCACAAATCATGAAAATACCGAATAGGTGTGGGTACCGTTATATGGACGCTATACTGAAACATGGAAAAATTTAGATAATTCTCTTCTAGGGGGTAAATTACTCTGAGGGAACGGCTTGTGTGGATTTTAAGACAATTTAATTAACAACTTTGGCTGAAATCATCAAAATATCAAATATCGGGGGTACAGTTATATGGGGGCTATACGATACGATGGAGGTTATAAAAAAGGAGACGTCAGATTTAAAATACTCGTAACTATGTCAAAGCAAGCAAATGTATAAAGAACTCTTTAGATAAGAATATTATTGTAGAATATTTATAACTGTGCATCTTTTTTGATGTCGGGATGATTGGTGGAAAAAATTCATTTGGGAAATTAAAAGTAACCAACAATTGAGAAAAAATATTAAAATATTAATTAACAAACAAAATTATTAACTAACAATATTAGTTAACAATTTTAATTTGACTACGACGAACCTGCCGAATGTAGGATAACAGCCAATGTCGACAGAGGTTTGATACATATAAAAATAATTATTATTAACCAAAAGAGTAAACTAGTTCATATAATTTCCTCGCAAATAATCAGATATGCCGACTGATGGAACTTTTAATGCGGACAATTGGAAAGTGGTGCCTACTATTGGCACAAAAACATTATTTTACTTAATTTGAAACTTCTAACAATTTAATAAGAGAAAAATAATAAAAAGTCTGTTTCTCTTATCTAAAATTTCAAAATAGAATAACTCGAATTTTACATAATGGTAAATTTGCATACAAACCTGTAAAATTTTGAAAATGAAATCAAAAAAAAATTAAAGTGCCAACTACCTACCACTATTAAGTTTCAGTCTATTTGAAATGCTTGGCATTAAAGAATGGTGCAACTCAGTAAAATATTAGCATAATGATTTTAAGGTATAAAAGAACCAGAAACTGGGGCTATAGATTAAATCATTATTTTACTTCACAACTACTTTGTTCATTAAAAGTAACTGTAATTGCGGTTTGAGAAGTCTGGAAATTCTTTTTTGAATATCAAAAAAAAAAAAAAAAAAAAAAAAAAAAACAAATAAATAAATAACTGGACTAAAATTTGTTTTTGCTCAAAATTGCATATAGAGCTGGAGTCTGATTTTCGATACACCTATATATAGAATGGGTTAACAATCCAACTTAGGCTCATATTACTATAAATGGAATTTCAAAATAAAAAAATGCCATAATGTTAGGCACTTCAATTGTCGATATTACAATCTCTCGATTATACAACAACCAATAACAATGCCTAAGCGTCACGGAGTCTCTGTTCAATCATTTTGTACTCTATTCATGGAATTGGAGCGCGACAATCTCCCTTTTTAGCGGTATATCGTTTGCGAACAATTGAAAAAAGAATTGTGGAAAAGGACTAGTACTACACTTCAAAAGAACAATGTGCCCAATCCTCCCAACAAACGTTCGTATGTACCTGAATAAACTCCTGCAACACGCACACACATCCATGCAGTGGCTGGTAGTGAGTTCAAACACAACGAAAACGTCCCAGCCAAACCACTACGAAGAGATAGTCGTCAACATCATCAGTAAGCAGTGGTTGAAAATGTCTGTAGAGAAGGAAGAAAATTGAAACAGCAGAAAAAGGTTCAATACCAGCTAGGAACGGTCAACGGCAGCTTAACTTCATTCGTATCTGAACCTTACAACGTGAAGGACGTGCACACAGCAGAAGTGAGCAAACAAGCCCTTCAAAACCTACAAAAAAATAAAAACAACGTAAAATTCTCACCAAAAGAGAAAACAAAGACACACAGAGAGAGAGAAGGAGTAATGTTAGTGCGCCAAGAGAATTCGTGAGAAACCCTATGTGACGTAGTGGCATATCGTGTGTGCGCGAGTGTTCGTTTGCTTATTTTTGCGCAAAATTATTTGTGTATCCCAAGGATTGTTATAGAAACCGCCGATAGAAAGCATAGCGAATACGTAATACCAAAAGAAAAAGAACGCACTCTCTCTACGTCCACACTCGGAAAAGCAAAATAAAAATTTGTAAATTTCATAGAATTTAACCGAAAACAAGTTACAAAGAAATTCAACTGTGTCTATCTGAATAAAACAAAAACTAAACGCAAAAATGTCGGAAAACTCATCGGAATATTTGAAACGCACCTGCCTCATTTGCGGCTGTCACACGAACCAGACGATTAACATTTATGAGCCTCGCAGTGGACCAAATATTGTTCAGCTCATACAGGCGAAATTCAAATTCCAGGTAAATACCCAGATTGAAAAAGTCCCCAAGCAATGAATAATTGTCATTTTAACAAATCTACTTGGAGATTCCGAAGTGTATTCAAGTCGACATAGAAATCAATACCATGTCAGGACTCTGTTGTTTCCTTCGTCAATAAAAAGTATTTATATTAGAATGTCGAATGTCGCCCTTCTTCTGCAAATGAGTCACCGCCACCTTCTACACTCAGTTTGGGGTTGTCTTTCACCAGGGGGTGTGGTGGTTACTGACTTTCTGCATGAAAGCGTCCACCTTTATCCAACTACCACCCCCCTCGTTCGGAAAGGCAACATGGCCTGACGTAAAATTTACAGCATCCCGTTGCCTAACTCTGTTGTCATAGCATCAAAGCTTGATATAGCAAATTTTACACATTACTTACAGACACGCAAACATATGTACATACATGCATACATATTGCTTACAGTAGGTCAATACCGTATTGTATTGAAATGATGCATCTGTCAACATTTTCAATGCCAAACAGGCCATAACTTGTATCAAATCTCGCCCCTATGGCACCATTAACACAAACCTTTCCACATTTTACACATTTTAATCAGCCGGATAAGCCAGCGACAACAACAACAAGAAAGATTTGTCTGTTGTTTGGTGGGTTATTCCCTTACACCGGATATCCAAACATTTCGTGAACTTTGTAAAATAGCAGATGTCACTTGTTCTCATGATTTCCACATATCCCGCCGTAATTTGACACCGACCTGCCCTCTGAGAGTAGCTGGCAAGTGGATGTCTTTCTCTCAGAGCCTTATGGTAGGAACAACATCGAGCAAATAAACCCAAAACACCACCAACAACAAGAACAACGAAACTTGATGATCGATGGTGGATTTGACATTGTTTCAGGGCAAAGTGTTTTCTTGTGGTGCTGCTGTGCTATTCTGTCGTTGTTGTTGTCATATTCCCGAAATATTGGAAAATATCGATCACATGTTATCCATAAAGGAAGATAAAATGGTGTTGGCAAAGTAGCTACTCCACTTCATTGAAATTTGAGACGCATCCGTACACTAACAAATATCCGAGACGATGCTGTTGTATGCCTTCCATTTCTCTGAGAAAATAAACGCTACAACAGCAGCAGCAGGTTCTTTGTACAATTTTCAGTTTGCTATTCTGTGAACCTAAGAATAAATTTGTCAGCTGTCCTTTTGAGCAGCATGTTGAATAAGAAGAAGAAGAATCTTCTGCTGTTGGTTTTATGCAGGTCCTTTTTTGTTGTCCATTAAACTGCAGTGAACATGCAATGACAGCAGCTGTTTTCTCGAATGCCACAGTGAATCAAGGGGGACATTGGTGGTAATATTTTTTTTCGGAAAATGTTTTCAAAAATCTGTGAACCTATCGGTGAGAAAGAGTAATTAAAAATTGAAGTGAAGTAAAATTAATTTTCAAAAGTTCTTTCAAAAAGAAAATATCCAGAAAATTCCTCCTTCTTGATTGGCATTGTTATGATAGGAAATGTATGGAGGAAAGCTTGTTCATATCTTTCCACTGTACCATTTTCAGAGTAAACCTGAAATGTAGTTTTTTTTTTGTATGGCTGTTGGTTACACACTAAAATTCGGTTGATGCTCCAATTTTGTGCGGGTCAGTTGTTTGGCCAACCAACAAAAACAATGCGTACAGCATTCGTTTATGGCGTGTAATTTTGAGTAACGACAGATGTATTTGTGGCACAGCGAAGGCACCTTTGCTATCTTTGCTTGTGGACTGTCATGTCTGCAGCATATTGTTGAACTCTTTGCATTTTGTTTATCACAAACTTGCCGACCGATTCATATGACTGTCTGGGCAATGAAAGTATTTTGCACCTGGTGATCGATTCTTATGCATAAACACCAACCACATGACGTTGTTGTCGCTCCTGCTACTTGTGTTGTTGTTGTAGAGTTATGCTTAAATTAGGCCTTTTGTGTGCTTTGAAAATCCGTTTGAAACATACGGCGCACGCGTCATCTGTCCTTCCCTTTGGGGGTAGATGTCCCAATTTATTGTTCTCCTAGGGGGTATCTAACGATTGGCCAGGTAATAAATGTGAATGCAAGTTCTTATCGTCCACACTGCATTTGTAATAGGCATGCGCGCCAAGCTCTCTCAGCCAGTAACACCTTACCTTAGTGACTGCGCAGCCAGCACAGAGGAGAAAACAAAGTAAGCAAAAGGCATGCGACAGCTGCTGTTATCAGCCATTGATTATGATTGTTGGTCGGTCTGGCTGTCTGTCTGTCAAAAAAGTGCCACAGTCGTACCATTCGTGGTATTGTTTTACTTTTGTTGTAATTGGTGGCAGGTGGTTTGGCCCAAATGAAAAATTTACCATTTTTATCGACATATACACACACGTACCACATATGCCTCTACATAACTATTCTAAATGCTCAACGGTCATTATCAACGGGGTTGACGGGGTTTTATGTCAGTTGTATCATTGCTAGCTGCAAGGATCAAGGACAGCAATTTACCTATGAAATTCTTAGGGCGTTACGTTTGTTCACCTTGGTAATTGATTTGCGGTCTCATTAGTGTGGTCTCCCTTGAAATATTGAATTTCCACCCTTTCCAGACATGAAGTCTAATCATTTTGTTTCTTTTTTTTGCTCCTTTCATTGCAGCCTCTAAACGAAGACAAATACCTGTGCTTCAGTTGTAATAATTGGCTCATCAATTGGCACTCGCTGCAAGCCTTGAACAGCAATGACGCGGAGAGTCCTTCGGGCACCTTTCGATCCCATCTAAATAGCGGCAATGTAATGCAGGATGAGAAAAGTTCCGGTTCCAAAAAGCAAATCGCTGTATGTCGGCCCATTGCTCGAGTCAGTCCCCAACAGAAGATGCAGTCCAGTGCCGAACAATCTCAATCACCAGTAGCCACAACTTCCAACACCAGTGACCAACCGCAAGATATAACAATGGCCAGTTCGGAGGCTGTAGTGGATGAAGCCGATCTCAAACCCAGTCATAAAATCAATTTCAATAAACGCAATTTCCGCATGCAACTGGCTCGGCGTGGTCGTTTACAACACAAGAATATGATGATGTGCCCTTGTGGCAAAAACATTGTGATACGTACCAACTCAACCAAGAACTTAAAGGCCAAGTCTTTATCAGCTCAGCCAAAGTGTCGCCAATGTCGGGAACAAACTCGCATGAGAGTCAACTACATGCGCAGCATAGTTCAAGTCGAACAAGAATTGGCCATACGTGAGGCTCCCTTGTATGCGACTGAAAGACAACACAGACAAACAGTTGAAACCGAACAACCACCCCAGCAACGGCTCCACCTACCAAAGCCAACAGTCGATGGCAAAGTTGTTGCCATGTTGCGACGCTTGGGAACTAACTTGTCGCGCGAATTTCGCAACGGAAACGGAAACAACGCTACCGCAGCAGAGCAGCTACCACAAATTATGAGTCCAACAAAACCCAAGTCTCCCAAGTGGTTGAGACCCCTTGAAGACGATGAGATTTTATTGAACTTCGATGCAAGCATATCGGAAGTCCTCCCCTCCCTGTCGGATCAACTTACACACGTTAGTTCAATGGTGGCACGAAAAAAGCTGACGTTTCAGGTTTCCGAAACTGCGGAAGTAATTGATCTGTGCGAAGAAGCAGAAGACATTGCGGACGACACGCACAACCCTGACGACAAATGCTCGCAGGGGTTGCAACAACTAGATTGCCCAGATTTTGTGGCAAGTTTCAAATTACCAGAAGGACTCTCAATAACACTGGCTTAAGCAGAGCCCCCGCTTGAAAGCGTAGAATTGAAAATTCAATCAACCAACCAAAAATTAACCAACACAAACGTAGTCAAATTTTTAGTCTTGTAAAATCGCACTTAAACGCTAGAAATAAAACCGCCCGTGGTGGGAGGGTCTAAAAAATGCCGTTAATCGTTAAGAACAACAAATACCGCTTGTATAAAAAGAACAAATTTCGCTGTAGTACTTTAGAAATGATGTTGCCATTATTAAGTTCATCCAAAAACTTGATTTAGTCAAACCGTACACACTGCGGGTACTCATATACATATATGAATGGAATGTGTGTGTGTATTTATAATTTTGTACATTTAATTAGTTCAATTTGTTATTTCTGTATATATAGATATATATTTACAATAGTGTCTACACCAACAAACATTCATACTTTGTGTATCTTTTCACTTGAGTTGTACATATTTGATTCCATTATTTAGTTTATTTAAAAATATTTAATTTAGTTTGTTATTTTATACAACGTTTATGTACCTTAAGTTAAACGCCATCATTGGGATATTAAGAAAAACAAAAATCACACACTAAGACAAAAAAAAAAAACGAGAAACGAGAAACCTTCTATAGAATACAAAATGAAATTATTAACTGAAACTTATGTGACTTTTCTTTTTTCATAGGTTTGGGTCATAATACTTTAGACATCTACATATTTTAATTGATAGATAGGAAAAGACCGCTGATATTTTCAGTTGGTTGGTCCGAATTGTTATACCCTCCACCATACTATGGAGGGTATATATTAATTATGTCATTCCGTTTGTAACTCCTCTGACATGAGTATTTCTGTCAGCCCATCAAAGTATATACATATATTCTTGATCAGCATGAAATTCTAAGTCGATTTAGCGATGTCTGTCAGTTGAACAAATTGAGATAGAAGGCAACATTTTTTAAGTTTGTTAATGGTCCTCGTTTTTGTATAGCCTTCCCGATATTCGGTATTTTGATGAATTTGGCGACATTTCTCACCGGAATCGTTTCACATTTCCTATTTGAAGTTCGTAATGGATACTATAACCCAAGACAGAAAATTTTCTATGCAGGTCTTCGTCTTCGTATAGCCCCCCATATAACGGTTTTTATTTAAACGTTATTTTTTCAAATTTTTTTTAGAAATTTTCATGTGTTGGAGGGTATTAAAAGTTCGGCCAGACCAAACTTAGGCGCAAAATTTAGATATATCTTCATCCGATTTGCCTTTCATTGTGCACCAAACGTGTAATATCAGTCCGAATAGTATGGAATTTTGCACATACAACCAAATTAGGCCTGAAAATAAGTATGCCATCGAAATCGGTTCAGATATAGCTATAGCTCCCATATATATTGTTCATCCGATTTGTAATTTTTGTCCTCCACAGCCGTAATATTCACTCTGTAACAACAATATTTGGTGAAATATATCAAATACAGCTCTGAAGTACTTTTGTTAAATTGTATCGAGATCGGTTCGGATTTGGATATAGCTCCCATATATAACTTCGTCCGATTTACCTTTTATTGTGCACCAATCTAATATTTGCCCAAATGGGATGGAATTTGGCAAATGCGACCGAATTAAGTCTGGAAGCTAGTATGCCAAATTTGGTGAAGAGCGGTTCAGATATAGCTATAGCTCCCACATATATTGTCCATCCGATTTGTTGTATTTGTTACCCACAGCCGTAATATGCACTCCGTAACAACGATATTCAGGGAAATATATGAAATACAGCTTAGAAGTATCATTGCCAAATTTTATTGAGATCGGTTCCGATTTGGATATAGCTCCCATATATATATATATATATATATATATATATATATATTGACCACGACTACTTTTACGCCCACTATTTCGATTTATCTAAAATCCTTATATTTTCCAAAATAATGAAGATATCGGTTTGAGAATTATTACACGAGATGCTGTTGGCTTTCCATCCAACCCTAAATACTTATTTAGGGGCTGAGGAACGCGCCTACTTTTAAATCCATCTCTCTATATGTAAAAGACAGTTGTGTTAGTTACTACTCTTATAACATAAAGACCGCCGGTCTGATTTTAACGATTTAGACAAATTCGGAATTGCCACTTGGCAGAAAAGAATAAAATCCAAAAAAATCGCGTAAAAATGTGAAATTTGAACATTTTCATTTTGACTTAAATAAAATAACAGTTTTATCCGTTGTCGCTTTATATGAAAATTCTAAAATCGGGATAAATCGACAATTTTTCAATTGAATCGAATTTCAAAATAATAGTACATTCTACCGACAAACTTCGTAATCACCTTTAAAAATTTGCCGCAAAAAATCAGCGAACCAATTGAAGATTCCTTTTTCATTTTTCAATATTGAAGTGTACATTTTTTATTGTTTTGAATTCTGAATGAATAATATAAAAATGAAATGAGGGCGCAATACGATGTTAAATGCTTTCTACTCCAGGACCTACATCGTGCTTCAGCTGGAAGATGCGAACACATTTAAACAAACAAAAATGACCGAAAAAACGTTATGGGGTTCATTTCCAAAAGTGGACCTGCTTCTTTCATATGACAATGAATTGTCAAATGAGAACATAAAATGCAAAATACATTGGGACTGCAATCAGTCAAATACCGAATGTTGATAATTTAAGAAGAAACCATCTTTGCAAACAATGATCACGTTTTGGTATCACCAACATTTGATTTAATGTATCTTCGGGGTCTTGGCCACTTTTTTCATTTTTTTGGCCCTTATTTGACAGCTTTGTTTCTAAGGGGGAAGAAAACCTCTTCTTATAAAATTTTTATTTTTCGGAAAAGTGCGCATCTTAGTCTTGAGGCTACCTGGGGTAGAAAATCAACTTACAGATAATTATCCACATAGGCATTTATTTAAGTATAGTCCCCACATTAGTATACCCCCAAGTCCACTGTCCCAACCAATGTGTGGTCAGAAAATAAAATTTGATATTCTATTGAATTTGTAACCCCCAAGAGAATATTGGTTGGGAACGTAGATTTGGAATGTACGTCTATATGAAACAAACTCCGAAATGTCAATCTGGGACTCATTCAGTCGAAAATTGTGGCAGAAACATGAAAAAAAAAATACGAAATTATAAAGTAACTTTATTGGATCTCCACCGCACAATTTAAATGACAAACAATTAATGCCCATCCTACGGTAATCGGAGCAAAAGAGTATTTTTTTTGGCTATTCTGACTACATTCTGCCTTCAAGTATGAGGTGGACAAAACTAAATACCACGCAGTACGGGATTTTAAACGTTGGAAAAACAAATTTCAAATTATAGCTCATTTGAATGCTTTTTACAATACCAAAAATTGAGCTGATGATTGATTTTCACATGGGGCTATTATAGATGTTCTTTATCATATAGGTATTTAACACTCGAATTAAAGCCTATAGCTGAAAAACAAGATCAGGCTATTCAAAATATCTAAAACCGACGGTAATTATAATTTTTGCCATGAATATTAATTTATATTTAGTCATGGAGTCATTACTCATAATCACGTCATTACTTATAATCAAAATTGGATTCATTACTTATAATCAAAATTGTGCCACATACATAAGTCAGATCTGTGATTTATTATGCTTTAAAGACTAAAAGTACGGTCCGGCAAACGCGGACCGGGCCAGTTAGTACACATATAAACAATTATAGAAAATAAATTAAAAAAAAGTCTACTAAAATTACTAAAAAGCAAAAACTTAAAATTTTGGTATGAGACTCAAGGTTGGAAAAGTATGCTCGATACATGAAGGTAGTTTTGAAAATATGTTCTAAATGGTATTAGATTTTGTACAATTTTGTTTTTTGGGTGAGCTGGGAAGAGATAGTTTTGGAAATACGCACCACAAGTATACGAAAAATAATAAATTGTACTAAATGTGGTGTTGGCTGAACGGATAGTGCTTGAAATGTGAAATTTGGTATTAGGGTCTTTGTTACTGTGTGGGGTTTAGATTTGGATGCGGTGTTGTTGAAAAACTCTCTTCAGTTATTGGAAAGCTTCGACCTTTACATGATTAAACGTGGACATGCTCTTTCGATCGAGGCGCTTTATCCATAAGAATTCTAAATTATTAAATTAGAGACACGTGGCTGGAACATGTGGTTAGGACCTTCCAACCAATTAAAATTTACCTGAAAGCCGAAACCGCAATCAAAATACCAAAAATATAAACCAACAGTAAAGGTTTATATATCCAACTGCAATTATTTAATTTTATATGTTTTCGGTAATAAATTACATTTTCCCGAAGGTGCACATTTTCAGCTGACCTCATTGGCAAGTAAACCCGATATTTTTGTTTGTTTACAAAATGCTAGACAACGAATGTTTTCTCATCGGAAAAAACCAAATTCGTCAGTTCACCACTTTCGGCCAATCGAAGCAACTCTTTAGCTCTTTCGCTGCAACTCTTTGCTGTTTTCTTCCGTCCACTTCCTTGACGTCGGGCTACGCTACCAATATCACGGTAACGCGCGATGATACGAGACACAAACGATATATTGACATTTAAAAGCTGGAGTGCCCTAACGATAGCCACTTGTGGTTTTCCAGCCAAATATAAAGTAATCGCACTATCACGCTTGAATTCCACCATGAATAACTTTTTTTTTTCTTTTCACACCAAAATGCTTTTGTACGCTTCTAAACAATGTAATGAGCTGTCACTGGAATAATTTTAACAGCTGTCGAACGAGTGGCTTAGAAGTGACAGCAGACTGAAGTTGGTTGCAGTTTTTTCATCTCTCCCTGTATATGATTTGTCAATATGATTTTTTATGATCAATAGGCATACTTCAATTCCAATTCCAAGACCAGCTTTGATAACATTCCGTTGAAAAGTGTGGATGCAATCATAAAATTGCAGTACAATGGCTCCTCTCTTTATATCGGCATAGGAGGTGCTACGAATTATATTACAAATGCCAAATAGCGGAACACGTGGACTTGTTTTAATATTTTTCTGTCAGTCCGCATACACGAAGAGTTTGTCCTTGGGATTTATGTATTGTCTTAGGAAATGTCAAGCGTGCAGGAAACTGCATTATTTTAAATTCGATTTTCGTATTCGAGGTAGCAACACATATGAACCTACTTACTTCCCAGTAAGAAACGTGACCTCAATTAAATTGTTGTATACTTTTTTACTGTTATGTAAGCCACACATGATACAACCGTTGGTACAAGTTGGTGGGTAGTCAAGTTGCATACTTAGACCACAAACGATGCAACTTTATGTACAACCTCTATACAACTTCACTTTCTGAAGAGTTCATTTGAGCTAAGATGACACCGGAAAGAATTTCATGTCATATAATGGAGTCAATAGCATTTGTTTATTATTAATCTTTTAAAATCCCATTTTATCATGGTACAATAAGCATGAAGAACAGCTTCGTAAAGCTACAGAAATACAGCCCTGAGGCTATGCCCGCTTCCTGTCAGACTCATTCAAATTTATTTGCAACAAGTTGTTTTAATTTTTTTCCCTCATTTTGAAAATGAGTTAAGTAGCGCAAAAATGGATGAAATGCCTAGAGCCGAATTCTACTTATCTTCCAATCATTGGTTCTGAAA